CTCATGGCCACTGTTCACGTTTATAAATTATTCGGTTAGAAATTATATTATTTGTTATCATTTTTGTGTCTTCTATAAATAAGCGAACAAATAATAATCGTAACATCCCCTAAAAAACAATCATAGATCCACCAAAAATTGTACATTTGCATTTAATCTGTTCAATTTGTATTACCACAGCAGATGCGTATGTTAAAATGATGATGGACCCCGAATTTATTACAACAGTTGATACAATTATAAGCTTATATGTAGAATAAAATAATCTTAACTTCCTGAAAAATAAAATTAATTAATTAAAAACATCTTCAAATTAATTCTGACCTGGTTTTCGTGAAGTAAAATAAAATAAGTATTATTCTAAACTATTAAAATATATAGGTATAAAGGTACTAACGCGTAATGTTTTTGTTGGTCCCTCACAATCGATATTAAATCATCACAACAGTCGTTCACAATAATATTTTCGTTTTTGTTTTCTAAAAATATGCGTTTTTAATTATTTTTTTACTATCAGTCAACTATGTTATAGTCACCGTGTGAATAAGTTATCCAGACGAACCACGGTTCTACTACAGTAGGCTCACGGTGGCATATAAAAAAAAATTGTACTCTTGACTTACCATTATTATTTTCGGAAGTCTGTTCTCTGTTCACAGTTGACAATTTCGTAAGCCCGTTTGATTATCTCGTATTGAGCAATTATGACATAGCAGACAGAAATAAAAAAGACATCGGTCACTACGTATGCGTATAACATAAATATTGCAATGAATGACTCCATGATATAAAATATAAAATAATAATTATTGTATTCACAGACGGTCACCGGGAACCGAAAGTTAAAAATATTCTCAAAGCGTTGATTTGAATCGCTTGCGTTTGTTTTTGACAACAACCGCAGCACTAGAGGAAACAAGATCCATTCGAGGGTAGTCACGATTGCAAAACCACTTATGAGATTTGTAATTTTTATTGATTTGTTACGATGTTTATGGAGGATTCCAATATGTGATTGACACTGTGTACTCGTCAAAAAATTTATGCGAGTGACACGAAGTAAATCCCAAATGTTATTTGCTTTGTATAAGAACGTGATTATTTTAAGTAAACTTAGAGAATAGAGTAAGTAACAGAACATTATCTGTATGTGAAAAATGCTGTCGATAACATCCTCCCTTTCAGTAAAATAACCCAACAATCCGTAAATTAATATACAACCAATGACGCAATTTATGATGTACCAAGCCAGATGGTAAACATTGAATTTGCAAAGTTTTCCGCTAGTTGGATCAAATAGATGGTAAAAACGAAATAGCTTAAATAATTTCAAGTTGATGGCAACTTCGTTGGATTCCAATGAGCTCATATTATCACTATTTGTCCAGATTCGATCTAAAAATTAAAATTAAATATTCTGTAGTTACTATATTAATTTATACATTACTTTTAAAATAATTAAATCAGGTACTTAGGTGTAACACAGTGTCTTACAATATAGTGAGCATTACGGAAGTATGAGGTGCTTCCCATATGGCATATACGTTTAACTAGATAGGTAATGAAACTAAATTACTCCAGGTCAAGCTGGTGTGACTATTTTGTAAAATATTTTTGTGTGTAAAGCCGTTTTCATTTCATTAAATAGATAACTATAGATAGATAACTATATAGATCACGAAATGATTATAACGTGTCTGAGTACAGTAGAAAATGATCTGATACTTATGTCAAAAATTTTGTATTAAAATAGGAAAACTTGAAATGTATTATTTTACCAATACTAATAAGTAAAAGTTTATTTACACTTATTTATTTATACAAATTGCAAAACAAGAAATAATTTCTGACTTAATTCAACCTAAATCCCAATTATTATAAAATATAATATTATACATAAACTTGTAAAAATTTAAATACATTACGTTTAAAATTGGTGTTGTTTAAATTACTTACCTATCAACGTAGTATTTATTGTAAAGTATAATATGTTCAATGTGCAACTTCTTGTTATAAGACTTTATTTTTTAAGAAATTGTTGTCACAACTAAGACTAACTCGTATATTGTATATGTGAAGTGAACACTGGAATTTGGTACACTATAATTTTCTATAGGGTGAATAATCACACCGGAAATTGTTTAATATACACAAAATCATACTAAACAAATCTTGTTCTCCTGAATCCGTTACTGTGATTACTTATTTATAATTACATAAATATACTGTGTAGGTACCCCAATATACATGGTGTATTATATGATCACTGATCATATGGAGATTTACTGTTATAAATTTGAGAAGAAAATAATTTAGACGTACCTTATTTACTAAATGGTTTCCTAGAGTATAATATTATAATATATTCAATATGTATGTAAACTTCAATGATATTTTCAACAACTATTATTGACGGTAGAACTACTTAATTTATAGAGCACAATATAACGATAGTCGATAATTATCTGGAATGGCTTATAAGTATCTTGTTCACTGTTCAGTATCCTTACCGAAACTAAAATAGTATAGTTATAGTATACAACACTATAACTTGGTAGTAGGTAGGTTGGTTATTTTTTGTTAAAAACTTTATTATTGGTACAACGTGAGCGAAAAAAGAATGCGATATTGTATAATTACATTTATATAAAATTTAAATTGGTAGGAACAAAGATCAATATATTAATACCTTGGTAAGACTTGTTTATCGCGAAAACGGTGGTGAGAAAATTGAACAGTTGTTAACACCTTAATACCCAGTATATTATTATAATTAATACTAAAAAAAGGTAAAAACTGACCTAAAATAAAAATTAAATGGACAATTCAATATTCAATTTGTGTGAAAATTATTCTTTCTTTGAATATCAATAAACAAAATAATATAATATAGCATTAATCATACCTGTGGTCTTATATACCTTATAATATACCCTTTACAGTGGGTGTATTTAAAACAATATATAGCTAATAAAGATAAAACTAATACGTCTTTCTAACACCAAGTTATTAGTTTTATATATTTTTAAATACCATACTATGTTATTATACTTTCTAATTTATTTATAGTTTTATACATAGCCACATAGGTATTATATATTATATAAGAGAATAGTTTTTTATATTCTATTATTATAATACTATTTCTACGTTATATGCGTTTAAGTTGAGAAAAGCTGTTAAAAGAAATATTTTAAGAATTAATTTTATGAGACTACATTTTATAGGATTGAACTTTATGACACACAACTTTCCTACACTTGATTTGGTACAATAAAATAAATATATTAATATATTAATATAATTCACATTTGTAATTAGAGTGTAAAATGTTGAGTTACTTACATGTGCGTGCACGTGCGAGTGTGCTCCACTATTTATTTTATACACAGACACACAGTCACACTAATAATCACTTGTTACGCACACATTTACATGACCAGCATGCACGTAATTAGAAAATTGCCTATATTGAACTCCTTAAAAACGGTCGGTATGCATACCGGTATTATAATATTTAAAAGGAGGTTGGGATGGTTAAATTAAGTTTTAAGGAGTAAAATATAGGCAATATGACTGTGTGTCTTACACTCTTACCTAATGTGAAAATAACTATGAATGGTTTGTTATTAATCAGTGTACATGATAATAATATAAGCAATAAAATTCCGTTCAAGCATGCGATGTCCAAGTACCTATATATTTGGTCACTATTTTCAATCTACTCAATACGACATAAAAGTATGATGTCGACTTACGAAGCTATTGGACTCGGGGAATTGACAGATTTAGATTCATTAACAAGTTCAAAAGGTTTTAACCTGGACCTAAGCAAATTGAAATAGTTGTTTTTCATCTGAAATGACATGTATCAATGAAATAGTTATAGAATTCGAATGCGATTCGTTTTCGATCAATGCTAAATCCAATCGTTGTAGTTTTGTAGGGAATCGTTTTACTACAATAAAATAATATCTATTTTTTGTTCATATTACCGATAATACTAGTAATGAAATAAATAATCTGAAAACTTGAAATTTAATTTAAAACGTAATAATTAAAGCATAATAATATTGAAAAAGAGATTATACAAAATAGAAATAAACAATTAAAAAGTAGGATAGTCTATGATAAGCAAGAATTATTCAATTTTTTTAGATTTCTTATCGCATTTCTAGCGAAGACGGACCAAAAAAATTGTTTTTTTTTAGAGAAATATAATATTACTCGTAGACATAGAAAATAGATAAGTGCTCGTAGACTATAATTATGGACTACATACTACGCTACTACAACATAATATTGATAACATTATTTAATTATTATGCGTGCACGGAAGAACGCTCAACGCCGTGTCTCTTTTCATTCTACAACTATAGTCACACACGCCAATCACTGTCATTCAAATGATGATAATAATATAAATTATTCCCTTTTGTTTACACTACACGCATGTAGGTATTTATACGATTGCCTATATCAATTAATAAGTTAATATTTAAATTGTCGGGTAGAGTGCTCAGACATTATCCGCATTAAAACGTATAATATGATGTATTTTATCATTTACATGAATAATCTAACGAGCACATTTAGTTAATTCTGTTTTTTTATTCTGCAATTTGATGCTATTATTGACGTAATATAACCATAATAATATAATATATTATTTTACGTAATTATTCAATGAAATATTTGAAAAAAAAACTGAATAACAACACCGTACAAAACAATACCTCACCGGCGATAATTAACACGGCATGGTACGCCGCAAAACACACGTGTAACGCACGAGTGGGCGGGGAGGCTAGGGGGGTATAGCCGTGTGGTAAATAGCTATCCACAAAAACACTCGTCGCGAAAGGAGCAGGCGCCGGCACCCGAAGGTAGCCAACTGCCCGCAGTTAAAAAAATTATGTGCCGGGTATGTATTGATGGCCATACCCCGCTCAGACCTTATAGGCCGAACGTTCCATGTAAGCGGAAGACACCCTTTTAAGATGAACACGATCGGTCGGGTCTCCTATATGGCCTCGCCGGTCCACCAGCGACGCGCCGAAGTCTACGGTGGACGACGACGCGTGATCGTGTCGGGCGGCAGTCTCGTCGCGGTGGCCGTCCGGCCGTCCGACCGATCGGGCCCGCGCTTGCCGCCCGTCACCGAAACTCGGACCGTCGGGCTCCGACCGGTCGGCGCGACGCCGACCGCCCGCCGAACGCGACCGGCGTGCCAACCGCCGTCGCAGATCAGAGCCATCTATCGGCTGACATTTGCGCACTTACTAGTCTCACGCCTCGGCCGACGATTCCGAAGAACGATCTTGCGGGCGGCGTGGCGTGCGCCAGGCGCGTCGTTGTCGCCGTGACGGGCATGGTGATGACTGCAGCGCTGTTGTCGTGTCGACTAAAACGAAAAAAAAACCGAACAGCGAGCGATATATAAGTGGCTCATAGGTAATATTATATTGTTTAAAATCGTGTAAAGAAAATTCCTTTACTGTTCAGATAAGCAGGAATACTATAAAGTACTAAATATATCATATTATATTATAAATTATAATTGAACTATTAATGAAAATTATTACTGTATTTAGTATTTAGGCAGGTATAGCGGTAGGTATTGCTGGTATCACTATAACACTATTATAGTCTATAATAATAATCTTTATTTTACGGAATAAAATTCCAATTTTAACAAGATAGTGTTCTACACGTCATGTTACAGTATTTAACACGTCATACATTTATAATAATAATTTTAAATTCAAAAACAATATTATAACTAATGTACCCAGGTAGGAATGACATAGGACAATAAGTTAAGTAGGTATAAGAATTAAGAATATAATATTAAAATATCCTACTAATATTATAAACGCGAAAGTTTGTTTCTTTGTTACTCTTTTACGTAAAAACCACTGAATGGATTTTAATGAAACTTTACAATATACATCAGAATAACACATAGGCTACAAATCAACCCCCTAGGTACAACCAGGGGATGTGCTCAAACGGGGATTTAAAGATTTACGGTGAAAATTTTTGTTTATAAATAGTTTCCACGGGTTTTAAGACTATTATAATAAATAATATTATTGGTTGCCATGAAATCTGTGTATTCATTCAATGCATTTTATTTTTTTGTACGCTGTGTTGTGATATTATAATATGTAGGTACCTATCACAATAAATTACGTAAATATTGAGCGTATTATACATTTATACTCACATATAAGTTACGTACATAAAACAATCACGATTCAGGGACGAGGAGGAGATATTCACTCGGCATTCACAATATTAGTCCAACCGTTTAGGAGGAGTTCAGTAACATATTTGGTATAACTTTGATACTTTAGAGTTAAATATTATAAAGTTACGTTCAAACAGCACGGGGTCCTCGATCTACCTCAAGTAGGTTGCCTACCTGATAATATACTGCTGTCTGCTGAGAATCAGAATTTTTATTCCAGGCAACAGAAAAGTTAAGATACATTTTGAACACCATACACCGAATATTAAATAGGTAACGAATTGAACAAAGTTTGAGTCATATAAAGTTGGACAGTTGGTCATTTAACAGGAAACGAAGTGCACGGGATCAGCTAGTATGAAATATGAATAAATACAAAATACATAAAGAACAATACTATTATAATAGTTTTGAACGGTTATGATTATAATGAAAACTATGAAAATTATATTTATTTTAAAAATAATACGTTATTCTAACAACTCAAATCTAATAATTCTACTAATCAGTAGTCTGCACAATTATTCCAATTTGCTTGTAGCTATATCGTCTATATTGGCGATACATTTCATGACTTCAAATAACACTGCTGTTATAATAATATTATTTTCGTTTAAAAATTATTTGATTATATAGTACTTACATGATAGGTATATAATATCTACAGACAGTATATTGTATTATAATATTAAATATATATTATGTATGTAAAATAATACGTTGTACCTATATTTAGTATATATTTTAAATTAAAGTCACGAATGTCCTTCAAATTTTAGTGTAAGTATTAGGTAATACTGACGTACCTACTGTAATAGCCAATATGTATGTATTATGTACCTATATATATTATAGCCCATAGGAACTTCAAAATTCGTTTATTTCCATGCCATACGAAAGATTTAAGTGTATAATTTAAACTTTACATCAATGACCTTAATACGATTATAACATTTTAATATTTAATAAAGTTATAAGTGTTTAATTGTTAAAGCAAAATGTAAATTTTACATTATATATTTATATACATACTCGTAAAATAATTTAGCATAATGCACCTCCATAATACGCTATATACATGACATATTGACACATGTAGGCCATCTGGCCATGTATAGGTAACCATAGTATTGTATGTATTTATTTTTTTTTTATTATTGAATACAAGTTAATTTGGTATCAACTCATAAACTAATATACGATATTTTTACGATCATTCGTCTATTAAAGTATGAGAGTATAAATGATTAAACACTAATCATTAAATTCATCTAAACTAGAACATAGGAAAAACAATAAACATCAGTCTCAATCTAAAAAACACTAAAAAGGCTTTATACAGGCATCGTTTTAACCGACAGATAATATATTTTTTTTTTACATTTATTTGAATATATACAATCTGTAATAATATAGTTACACTAAGCATATGAGCTAGATTACAACAAAATTGGCTTTGAAAGCGTGAGGGGAGTAGTTACCCAGCTGTAACACTCGACGTGAAATGAAGACAGGTAATATAATAAAATAATTCTGCATAAATTACGGAAGTAGTCTAGGTCTACCTCAAAGAGCTTAGAGTCTTTGAATGTGATGAAATTGTTATGGTCGTTGGTATTTGACGAATTTGGAACTAGAGGTGGCGTTTGGAACTTGGAATGCAGTGGCGGGAACTTTTTTAAGAACAAAAACGCATAGATGTGATATAGTCAAAATCATCGAGTCAAAACGCATCCGGTTTACCCGGACCCCCCCCCCCCAACGCATGGTGTGACGGGACCCTTATATTGAGTATATTGACCATGAACTAAGACTAATCCTATTATGACCTATATAGGTAGGCAGCATAGTCCTTCTTTTAGAGGTCTATAGTAGGCACAATATATGTCCAAGTATTAATTTTTAAAATAACCTGCTGGCCACATACATATGTTGCTAATGATATTAATCGACATTCGACATAACAATAAATCAATTTTTTTGAAAATGGTACAATTTTAAAAACAATTTATACAAATCTTTAAAATGTATTGAACATTCTATTTGATTTTGACGTCGATAGACATTTTAGAACCACAAGAAAAAGAAGGTATCTAAATTTATATTTTTCATACCTATTTTAGAGTGTACCTACAACCACCTACCTACAATTACATTTTAGTGCGGGCTGTTGTGGTTATAAATTGTTGGTAGGTAATTGGTATAGTAGTATATAATATAGGTACATGTATATAGAATACAGATAACTATAATAATTGGTAATTGATTACTATACATATATATATAATCAATCAATACCTAGTAATAATTGTTAATAGGTTTTTTTTAGTTTTTAGTATGTACTTTAGTAGGCAGATAATTTAATATATTCCCTATATTAATGTGATTAGATGCCAGATGGTGTAAGTACCTACCAATAAAATCTCGTTGTAGAAACTAGTGAATTTAAAAAAAATAATAATCAATAATTGTATTATACTGTCTTAATAATAAATAATGCACGAGAATGCCCTGATCATCGAATATTATAATATTATTATTTATTATTGTAGAACAAAGTAAGTTTGAAAAATACCTACCTACGTCCTACAGCATCATCAATAATCATAAAGGTTGCTATCTAGTGACAAATGTTTGCACTGAGGCTTGGATATTTTCATAATGCTATCATATTATTATAGATCCAATTAATTTTTTTATAGTTTTTTTTTTTTATATTTTGTGGTTTATGGTTGAATGGTCCTAAATTATTTAACACGAATAAATTCAAGCATATAAATTCGTGGTAATAACGCAGTACCTATATAATTTATAAATAGTTTGAATTTAACTTTAATTTAATCGACAAATTGGTTACCTACCTATGTATTATATTATTTTATGTATTGTATTATTTTTACTGAGTTAGTATGTAGTCAGCTAGCGTGAGATAGTGAATGCTGAATAAGGAATAATAACTATTTTTTATAATAAGGATTATTTTACAACAGAATAATAAATTAATCTGTGATTTTACTGCGTAATCAAATCTGTCTGTTTTGAATTTTTATCACAGATAATTTTAAAATATTATGATATTTTATATCTCGAAGTCTTATCAAATAACGTTATCAACTTTTAAAACAATTTAACACAAAAACACAGCACGGCCGCACACTCGGGTCTCAACTCACAGATCAAATTTCGAAACGTTGAACAAAATCTGTTTAATTAGTAAAATTAAATGTATACTTATTATTATAGGTCCTAGGTAGTTAATTAACTGTGTCACTGTGATTTGTACACACTGCACCTTATTTACTCTGTACAAACGAATAACGATTGTTTTGTGTCACTTTATTATTATTATTATTATTGTTGTTGTACGCTGCCACTTCTTTTTTATATCGTTTTATTGTTTTTGATTTACCTACTTATTTTTTTTAAAACTTTTTACAATTATTTGTACCTCCACTGATACTTTAAAACTTCCTACGAGCATATAGTTTCTATTTAACTTACTTAATATATGTTTTCAACTACAGACCAAACACTAATATCTACTGAACATGATAAAAGACCATGTGTCGCTGAATTTCGACACTGTTTTGTTGACGGGTCCAATACAGAAGTACAGTTGCAGAAGTTTTTATCGAAGGGTAAGGAATACAATTTATTTTGATCTTCATTATTTATGTGACATGTTAAATTTGATTATTTTTCTGCAGTGTTGGAGACAATTATCAAAGTTACAGAAATTAATTTTTTACCTGTTGACTAGCGTAATATTAATTTCGCTACTTCTGTGGTTCATTGGAACTAGTAGAAATCTCGAAGAATTATCTGAAACCAATTCTCTTAAGTTACCACAACCAACTATTTGGCCCCAGGATAATATTGTATGATGCTGCTGTTTTCAATGGTCCATAATATGCCTGACATGTCTAATTACTAATGATTTGTTTTAGAAATTGAGTTTACCAAATGATGTAGATGCTGTGAAGTTGAATGAAATTGATGATGTTGAACCTTCAGATCAAAAAGAACAAATAGCCGCACCGGCATCTAATGTTGCTGCAAATCCTGGTGAAGGTGTTCAGTTTATGCCAGCAACAGGTCATAGACAAACCGCAGTTCTAAATGCATTTAAACATGCATGGAAGGGATATTGCAGTTATGCCTGGGGACATGATCACGTAAAACCCATAAGTAGGAAGTACCAAGATTGGTTCAATCTAGGATTAACCATTGTGGATTCATTAGACACACTATGGATAATGAATTTAAAAAAAGGTATTTACTACTGATATGAATTTTACTTAAGGGATGTATACTCGTGTGTAACAAATTGGACATATTTAGATATTATATTATTTCTTTCCATAATAAAATAATGTTCCATATAGACACTGAATTTGGGATGTGTTTAGTTTAAGTCATATAATATTTTAATTTTAAAAGTAAAAATGTTTTAAATGGTATACAGTCAGTTTACTTTAAAATTTAAACATTTAAAAAGCTAACTACACAACAAAAATGATGGGTTTAAATTTATAATTTACAAGTTTTTTTATTAATAGTATCTAATAGAAGTAATAGAAGTACCATTAAATACAAATTCATAAAATTGTAGGTCATGTATGCTCAAGTTTTTCAGCCTAAATGAGTGAATTATAAAATGTTCGAATTTGTTTTATTGAATCTTTATTTTCTAGTACGTTTATCATACTTATAACAATGTGTATGAGCATAATTTGTTTAGCAAGTATAGATTAAACATTTCAATTGTTGTTACAACTTCTTGTGTTCATATGTCATAAGTAATAAGTATATAATATATATTAAGTTTGTGATGGAAGTATGAACAGTAATGTATAGTAACAAAGAGAAAAATTATTTAACTGTTGATGGTCAATGTAAAAGTGACCAAATGACATATAGTAATTTTAGGATAAAAAAAGATATCCTCACTCAGTCACTCAATATATTAACTCGATACCACAGGTATACCGCAATAACTAATAATTTACTATAAAAAATTATCTGATTTTCTATAACTATCTTTAAATTGACTTCCATACTTATTGATCGATTTTAATATTATGCCCTAAAACGTTCCTTATGCTTTTTAACTGAAGTTGTCTCTTTAAATTGTTTTTACATTGTTCATGCTTGTTCCTGTTATTGGGTTTATGAAGTTTTTCTAATGGTTTTTAACCTAATATACATTTTCACAACAAACATTTGTACAGTTGTGCAAACCACCTGTCCAAATAAATAGTTGAGTCTCATTAAAAATTTTTATTGACCGGTACCAAACATTGGACACCTTTCAAAATTACGTAAACGTTTCAGTGACTACTCAAAATATCCTAATTAAAAGTATGATCATTTTTTGCTCAGTACCAGGAACTAAAAAAAAAGTATTGTACTTACCATGTCAAATAAATAATAATGAGATATTTAAATACTTTACTTCACTTCTAATAACTTGTTATATTACTAATACTAATTACTCATATTATTAACAACACTAATTACTCTACTTATCATTCAATTAGCAAAAAATGTATCAATTATGTTTAACATACATTTTCTATATACCCCTTATTATGATATACATATATGGACTATAAAGTATAAAACTATAAACTAATATCAATACTATTTTCTTAATTTGATGCACTAATAATGAAATATGTTTTACTTTAGAATTTGATGAAGCTCGTGAATGGGTTAGTACCAGTTTTAACCTTGATCGTTATAAAGATGTCAACCTTTTTGAAACTACAATTAGAGTGTTGGGTGGATTTTTAAGTGCTTATCATTTGTCGGGAGATTCATTGTTTCTCGATAAAGCTGTAAGTAATGATTCATTATTATTAAACACTGAATATTTGTTAGTTTTACATTAGGTATTGTAATTAATCAATTATTATTTAATTTTTACAGTTAGACATTGGTTCACGACTTATGCCATGTTTTACAAAATCTCCATCACCAATACCATATTCTGATGTAAATCTTATCTCTCACATGGCCCATTCACCCAAATGGAGCCCAGATTCAAGCACAGCCGAGGTATCTACCATACAATTAGAATTTAGAGATTTATCAAGGTCTGCTGGTACACAACATTTTGAAGTGAGTAATACTAATATAACTAATAGCGTAATCTGATTATGATGTATGCAATTCAATTTCAGACTGTTTCATTCAAAGTATCTGAACATATTCACACATTAGAAAAACCTAATGGACTTGTGCCTATCTATATAAATCCAAACACAGGCAAATTTCATAGAGGGTCTGAGATTAAAATTGGTGCTAGAGGTGATAGTTATTATGAATATCTTTTGAAACAATGGATCCAAACTGGAAAATCAATTGATTTGTAATAATTATTAATTATTTAATTTTGAAGACATTAGTTAAATATATATGTTTATTGTAGTTTGAAGGATGACTATTTGGAAGCTATTGATGGTATAATCACACAATTAGTGAGAACATCGCCCAAAAGAAATTTAACATACATAGGTGAACTGAAGGCTGGATCACGCAACTTTCATCCAAAGATGGATCATTTGGTATGCTACCTGCCGGGCACATTAGCACTTGGAGTTCATTATGGTATGCCTTCTAGTCATATGAGATTGGCTGAAAAACTGATGGAAACATGCTATCGTATGTATGCTGATCAACCAACATTTTTATCCCCAGAAATTGTGTATTTTGGTACTAAAGTAAGATTGAATTGATATTAAAATATCTACCATCTTCTAAGTTTTGCTCATTTTTTTCTGCAGGTGGATGTTAATCAAGATATGTATGTTAATATAAATGATGCACACAGTCTATTACGACCAGAATTTGTTGAAAGTCTTTGGTACATGTATCAAATATCAGGCAATACTACATATCAGGATTGGGGTTGGCTAATATTTCAAGCATTTGAACGACATACTAAAGTAGCTGGAGGTTTTACATCCATTGGCAATGTGTTAGATCCAGAAGATACACGTCCGCAGGACATGACTGAGTCATTCTTTTTTGCAGAAACCCTTAAGTATTTATATTTGTTAATGTCTGATGATCGACACATGTTATCCATTGATAAGTATGTGGTTAACAGCGAAGGGCATCCATTGCCAATTAATAACCGGTAATAAATAATGGTTTTGGTTACTTATAGGTTTGCTGTTGAGTTAATGTATGAAATTTTATTTGTCTTTATTGGCTGTGAATTTTTGTTTTTCGGTTTTGTATACTCGTCCACAATTACCACAAAATATGTAAACATACTTTTTTTAATACTGACAACATTTTTTTTAAATTTAAATATTAAATTATAAAATTTTTATTTATTTTTGGTTACTACTTAGCAATTTTAAATTTATCAATGTTTTTATGTTTTTATTTTTATTTAATAACAACATTTAGTAAAAGTAATATTTAACACTCAGAATCTAAAATAATGATTGTAAATTAAAATATAACCATGTCCAAGGGCGTCCATCTTCGAAAATCCAGGGGGGGGGGGTGCCCTCATGTCAGGGTATACTGTATTTTTCAATAATGTTGACCTTTCTGTTAATCTGTTAATTGCTAAGTGTAAATTTACGCGGCATTATTATATTATATGACTCAATGACTGTATGCATACAATAGTATTTATCAATTCATCATATCTATATAATTATTTATAAAATAAATAAGAGTAGGTAGTTCAATTTCTAATAAGATGTAAATATATAACATAAATAATTCACTTTATTAGTTAAATCAGTGGTTCTCAAACTTTTTTGTACGACGACACCTTAATTTAGATCCATAAAAATGGCGACACACTTAAAAAATTTTTTATGGATTTTTGAAAAAGTAAAAGTTACAAATCTATGTAATATAATACATTTAGGTCCATGTTAGCATTTTATTTGAAAAAAAAACAAATCTTTTAAATTTACATAACTAAAATATAAACAATTTAAATTAGGTATTAAAAAAATATTATTATAAAAACAGTGTTAGTTTATAATGGAAATTAGTGCGATACTTGTGATTGGCGAATTGAACATAGGTATTCGATTTGCGGGCGAATTGTTGACAAACTTACGCGTAATTCACTTTCAATATCTTTAAGCGTTGACATTTTTTTGGTTTTTGTTACTTCTAATATCGAAAATGCTGATTCACACATATAAGATGTTGAAAAAGGAAGCAACATTTGCAACGCTTTTTTGCTCACTTCTGGGAATTCGTTTTGCAAAGAAATCCAAAATGAATCATTTTCAGACATATAAAATGTAGATTTTAACGTGGTATCTGATGATTTGAAGGCAATATAATCAATAAAAAAAGCATTTAAAATGTAAAAAAAGGCATTTCATTTATATAAAAAGGCAATTCATAAATATACTACAAAATAAAATAGTGAACATTTTTTAAACACTTTTAAATGCACACATTTTGAGAAAAATACAAATTAAAAATGAGCATGAATACTAAACTACATTAAGTTTATGCTATTTTGTATAAATAGATTAGGTACCTTTTTCTTTAACCAGGTTTGTCCTAAGAATTAGTGCCCTTGCCCCCCCCCCCCAAAGGACGCCCTTGACTATGTCATTATTAAATTTCTATATTTGTATCTGAATTCTGTAAAGTATTAAATGTATTTAATTATATTTACTTAATGTAATTAAATGTATTTAATTATATTTACTTAATGTAATTAAATGTATTTAATTATATTTACTTAATGTACAAAAGTGATTAAATTGTTTATAATTTCAATTTTTAAATGTTTTATAAGTTATACATTTTAACTATAAAATTGTTAACAATTACACTATTTAATATGTATACTAATATTTATATATTTATTTAGATATATTCTAAGAGAGGAAAGAATTTATAACTTATACTTATAATGAAGAATATCTATTCTCTAAAAAGTTACATAAAATAATGACTTACTATTATCTTATTAGGTTAGAATATGTTTCTAAATAATTTTAAATGCAATTGAAGGTACTTGTTTGTTATTACTCTACTACCTCACTGTGATCTATTTATTTCCCTGTCTTTCTTGTTTGTTATCGTTTTGCCTCTTTGTTCCTGAGTTATAAGTAGGTATGTAAAATATTAATATTTGAAAATGCTCTTAATGTGAGTATGCTCACAGCTCATAGCTGTAACATAACAATAACAAACAAGAGTGGCATGGTAATACATTTATTATGGAGTGGTGGGGGTTCAATAACAAAAATGTACCAAGTTTAATAAAAAACAACATAAAATGGTAAATGTAGAGATTTGAAATAATTGAATAGCTACAATTTGCTTAAATTTTTTAGCATTCTATGTAAAAAAAATACATGCAAAACAGTATTTAATTGAGTTCCACTCAAATACTCAATTCTATTTATTTCTGAATTTAAGAGGACGCGCATGTGTTGTCTCCGTCTTACAAATGTACAACATAGCAAAAACTCTTTTGCGAGGGACAACTTTTCTCGCACCATATTTGTTGTAGAACTACCAAATTTTTACAGCACTTAAAGAAGAACTTTATCTGTGCAACAGCGTGCTCTTTTTTTCAATAGCACCATCCAATCATTTTTTATAAGCAAATTAAAAAACCAAATGTTTAGAAGCAAATAACTTGTATTGTATATATGTTATTGAAAAAAAGAGCACGCTGTTGCACAGATAAAGTTCTTCTTTAAGTGCTGTGAAAATTTGGTAGTTCTACAACAAATATGGTGCGAGAAAAGTTGTCCCCCGCAAAAGAGTTTTTGCTATGTTGTACATTTGTAAGACGGAGATAACACATGCGGGTGTGGCGTCCTCTTAATGGATTTTATTTTTGCCCTATTCCCAGTTTGTATCATATTTTAACATAATATGTTTTGTTAGTTATTTGTTTTATATGTATCACAGTCTATAACCGATCAATTTCAATTACTTGAATCTTGTGTGGGACAAAATATATAAATTTGATGTATTTTTCTAGTTATAAACTTCAATTATATATTATAAACACTTCAGGGACAAAAAAAAATTGAATTTATTATGGTTTTTGGATTATTGAGGTTTAAGTTATCACGACACAACTGTATTATACATTTTTAAATTAAAATAAAATAATAATAATTACTATTATAATTTATAGTTCTAAAATTTATAATCTTAAAATTAAATTTTGAACGCACAATTGTTAATACACTTGTACCTATAATTAATTTTATGTTTGTTATTGTATTTTATATAGTAATTAGAAATACATAGATACCTATGTAATATGAATATTTTTTTTTTTTTTGTAAAAATAAAAATTAATTGTTAAATAAACAGATGTATAATTTAAATTACGAACAAATAATTTTGTTAAAACATACAAGTGTTTTGTTGTTTGAACAGTTTTCATCATAGATCTGTACACCATGTTAGTATAGGTAGTCTGTACCAGCGATTCCCAAAGTGTGTTCCGCGGAACATAAGGGGTGGAACCTTAAGGTTCCAAAGGGTGCCGTGGTCATAAAAGTTTGGGAACTGCTGGTCTATAATCTATGGTTTATATAGCTTATTATTTTTACTATGCTAAGTCAATAAATTAACATACAATTTGTAAATATAAACTGTTGTGTTTAAATACAAATAATGTAATTATATTATAACATTTTTAATTTTAAAACATTGATGAATTATTGATTTAATATTATTGATGTAAAATTCTTGATAAAGCAATTGAATACCTATTTTTAAAACTGGTACTTAGGTACTTGTGTTGTGTGTATTAAACCATCCGAATTCACATCTATAACAGCGATACTGATATATTATATGACAGTTTAGCGCCAAGAATTTCACCTGTAACATACGTAAACTAGACATGAATTGCTCTGAAAATATTTTAATTTGAAATCAATTAGAAATACCAAATTTGACTCCCAATTTTTGGAACTTATTCTTTCCAACGATAGTAGTTAAAAATTCTTATAGTGTGTAACTGTACATTTATACAATTTTTAACTTTTATAACTAAGAATCGAACATTTTAAACAAGGATTCTCATAAATGTTTTTCAAAATTGTAACCAAAAAACTTAAAAATATTTATAAACACAGTTTTCCCTGTAGATATTATAGTTTCAAATTTGGTCAAAATTAGATATTTAAACAAAGAATTACTATTTTAGTTATTTTGTTGTAATTTAAAAATATTATTTGTGTGTACTTGAAACTTTTAAAGTAGGTATATTATTATATTTTATACACACAATGACATTTTCAAAAACATTTTTTTATCAGAAAAAATTAATTTAACTTCAACCTACTGTAAGTAATAGGTACTAAACGTATTAAATGTCTAATAGTTAAAAAACTACCTACTTTAATTACAATAATATCATAAAATATATTTATTAATCAAGGATATCAAACCGTCCACCTGTTCCACCTTTTTAAATCTGTGGTCAGACGATTTTCTTTTTCATAAAAAAATCTAGATTTATTTTGTATAATTTAAATATTTTTATTTAATAACAATAGGCAAGTACACTAAACATTTATTTTCTTTAGGTAGGTAATCTTATAATAAATGTATGTATTTATGTACCTAATTAGGAATCTATAATCTGAAACAACGAATTCTGGTACCTACCAATTAATTTATAGTAGGTATACTTACTGACTGATACCATTGATTTGATGAATAATATACTAATAACTATAACCAGTGGTGTTATTGTGGGGGAATACCTGCCCCTCTTGCAATTTTTTTCAAAAATATCATCTACCCCTCAGATACTACAACAGTGCATATTTTTATTAAAGAACTCTTCTGAAGTATTTCATAATAATTAATAATATTTATCAATATTGGTGGTACCTACAATCAACATACAATTTGTTTCCAAACCATAAAAAGTTTCCTTTAAGACTTGTGTAAATACCAACAATTAGCCATAAACCATAGTACAATTAGGTAGGTACGGTAATAATATATTTTATATGAAAAAAATTACCCAAGTAAAAGCTCACCATAAAAAAAACCTACTGATGAGGTTTTACTTACAAAATCAATTTCACAAAAATGTAAACAATGAAATATCAAAAAAAAAAAATAATGTATCATATAATAAAAAGTTTATTTTTTTAACACGAAATTAGTATCAAAACAAAGCCACAAAGGCATACCGACGGTCAACCAACACTTCTCCAAGACTACTAAATATTAACAATATTTGTGCCACTAGAAAAGGATTTAAACTATAAAATACAACGAAGAAAGAGAGCGAAATAGTAAACCCAGCAAACAGCATCAATAATCTTGTACTTTTTTTTTTTTACCCCGTCTAGTATTCTTTACTATATTTCCCCCCCCCATTACCCAAAATCCTTCCAAAATAAAAATAAAAATAAATATACAATAATATACACCTACCTACTTTATAATGTCGAAAACCGTTCAACAGACAAAACTTATAAATAATCATTATGTGAACACCGCAAACAAGAAGATAAAAGAGAGAGATAGGTACACAAATTCAGCATCAAATTAATAAGTATAAAAATCTCTGATGATAGCGTGAAGAAATCATATAAAAATTGACAAATCGAAAAAAAAATAGAATTCTGGCCACAACAATAACTATAGAAGATTTTGAAATATTATAAATTTTATCCTATCCTATAAGTCTTCTTCTCACAAAAATATATACATGTATGTATACATGTTTATTCTACAGTTTTGTACTCAGTTATGCCACTGCCTTAGCATTTGGCATTGATTGTATAATATACATGATACATCTTTTGAAATTGTGAAGACAAATTGAACCATAGTTTAGAATTTAAAAATTGAGCTGTCCCCGCGGACAGGTTGTTCATCAATAACGGCCAATGCAATGAGGCCAACTACGACCACGGTTGGGAATGGTGGGATGCGATAATCGGACTACGTGTCCAGAGCTGATAATGAAGTAAGTGTGCATGAGAAGTACGATGAACTCGAACCGTGTTTTCGTCCTAGTTCGCATGTGCATACTACTTTGTGCAAAAAAGATTAAATGTATACGCATGACGTCGCCTTATGTTTATCGTTAGTTGCCTATATAAATTATACATTGCCCCTTAAAAAAATATGCGCAGTCTGATCATTGAGCATACTTCTCATTCCTTATCCTATGTGTACGTGTTTACGTCTCGTATTTTTGCTGAAATAGCTATCTATTTCGTCATGCTTCATACACATTTATGCGTAGTTAATTTTATAAATTTGTCAGTATTCTGTAAGCGGTAGCACGGTTATGTCAGGTTTATTTTTTAACGTTTTTCACGTTTTACTGGCTACTGTCGCTTTAGTCGCTACTGCTCTGCCCTAAAATCTAAATCGTGTTCACGGTCACACGCCGATTGACAGTAATATTATTATAATATTGAACATACATTTTTCTCGCGAGTTGTCAGTTCGTATAGTCAACGCGGGCGCTTCATCGTTCTATCGTTAATTATTGATAAATGTTTTGAACGACCATTCGGAGTTATCGTTTCCTTTACACCTGTAAGCAATTATTATTGTACGTTTGCGGCGCGGACGGCTACGATGGACAACGAGAGAACGTACCAAGTACCCAGCTTGTTGAAAACTGCGTACTACGCTTGCAACCAGATCGACCGTGACAGGTTCGACTCGCTGGATGTACCGGACGTCGATTTGCGATCGTGTTGCGAGTCGCTGTTCGAATTGTTAAAAATCGAAAAAACCCGAAACGAGGGCAACGATAGGCACACAATGTACAGCAGGGCGCTGTTGGCCTCCTCCGACGACGAGAGGTTTAGAAACATATGCAAAGAGGCAGCGTCGCACGGGCACATAAATTGCCTGAAACTCGCGCACGAGATCGGCGTCCCTTGGGACGATAACGATAGGGCGTATGACCTGTCTGTGAGACCCGCGGACCTGGAGTCTCTAAAGTACGCTAGTGGACAATTGTGCCTTTATGACGAGCGGACGTGCAGCAATGCCGCGGAGAACGGTCACATGGACTGCCTAGTTTACGCCCGGGAAAACGGATGCCCGTGGGACCAGTCGACATGTTACAAGGCCGCGTTAGGTGGACATTTGGACTGCCTGGTTTTCGCCCGGGAAAACGGATGCCCGTGGGACGTGCGTACATGCAGCAACGCGGCCATAAACGGTCACATGGACTGCCTAATTTACGCCCGGGAAAACGGATGCCCGTGGGACCAGTCGACATGTTTCAGCGCCGTGTTAGGTGGACATTTGGACTGCCTTATTTTCGCCCGGGAAAACGGATGCCCGTGGGGTGAGTGGACGTGCAGCAGAGCCACGGAGTACGGTTACACGCACTGCCTAGTTTACGCCCGGGAAGAAATATGCCCGTGGGACGAGTCGAAATGTTACAACGTCTCAGCATCAGGTGGGCATTTGGACTGCTTCGTTTACGCCCGGGAAAACGGATGTCCGTGGGACAAGTGGACGTGCAGCCAAGCCGCGGACGGTGGTCACATGGACTGCCTGGTTACGAAGAGGGAACAATGGAGCATCATGGAATTTCAGGCTTATAACGATGACTTCCTAGTTGACCCACTGCCGGGAAACGCGTGGCCGAATAGACGTATGCCCCGACAAAAGACAGGGGGTTGCGGGTGTATGCGCAGGCGCCGCCGCAATTCTATTAAGCCCCCCCAGAAATTTGTTTAGCTCCTTGTGTAAATGTTTACCGTTTTATATGTCCATATGTGAGAACCAGTGGCGTAGCGTATGCTGTGTACCTATGCACAGCATACACTTCACAAAAAGAAAAAATTATTTTTTATACATTAAAATTCTATATTTTTTTAAAAATGTTTTAAATTTCATTGTATTAATATTAGTATAATATTAATATTATTAATTAGTGCTTCTTAATATAATATTTTGTGGATTTTTTCCAAGTTCATTAATAATAATTATTCATTAGGATTGATTAATCCGTAACACCGCGGCGGCGACGTGCTATAAGTCTTAGTCGCTAGAACAGTAGTACCTCAGTACCTTGTTTATTATGTACCTAAGCAGTATGCAAGTAGGCGATTAAACACGAGTAGGTACAGACTTTCAGTTATTTATAGTTCTTATCGATAATATTAATAACAAAACATAGAACGATTATGGTTGTATATTCGTCACTCGTGTATGGGGGATCAGTATTGCATACGCTATCGTTGACAGTCCATTATAATAGTTATTATAACGTGCATTAATTTTTAAAAAGTGATTTACTTTTTATTTATTAGGTAAATATAATATTTTGTTATGTACTAGGTAATGTAATATATATTAATGAATAAGTAAAACTTTGTATTTTTAAAGTAACATTTTAAAAACAGAATAGGGGGTGTGGTGGGCTTAGCCCCAACGATTCCATTAACTTACTATTTCTACGCATACGCTAAACTGAAATTCACGCTGCGCCACTGGTGAGAACTGTAAACATTTTCCATTATTAATTTTGATGCCTAAAAATATTTTATTTGTAATTAAAATTTTAAATAAAAAATGCTAATTATATGAAGAACTGTATTGCTAAAGATTCTTTAGTCCTTCTTTTTATATTTTGTTCCTTTACAATATTTTCCTTAGTTATATATGTAGAATATATAATATGTTCTGTGCCTGAATTATTATTATATAGCCCTTATGCGAAGTAATTCGCAAGAAGTTGCAGCAGCGTCGTTCATACCAAAAAAAAGGCGATAACAACAAAAAAAAAAAAAAATCATCACGCTACGACTATGAGTCCCTATTCTCTTGATCGATCGACTAGAAGTCGTGTGCGACTAAACTCGATTGATTATGTAGAAAGTCGACTGCAAAACGCTATTTCCAAAAGCATTCGACTAAAATTAGTCGCACTCGAGATTATGTCGACTAGTAATATAATTGGCTTGTCGAATGAACCACAAAGGTATAACCTAAAATTGATATTTTATTATCATTTATTTTCTATTTGTTATCAAAGTGAGCCCCTTTTTAAATTTAACTTAAAAAATTGTATCAATATACATTTTTACGACTGTATAAAATTATACAATTACCAACAATAGGTACCACATAGGTACTATATTAACATGTTAAAGAGGTGGGCAGGTGGACCGTCTGGCTTCCTTTATTACTAAATATATTTTATGCTATTATTGTGTTTAAAATAGTATATTTTACTATTATCTATTAGTTACAGTAGTTTCAAGTACCTACACACAAATAATATTTTTTTAAATTACAACAAAATAACTAAAATAGTAATTCTTCGTTTAAATATCTAATTTCGACCAAATTTGGAAATATATAATATCTACAAAAAAAAACTGTGGTTATAAATATTTTTAAGTTTTTTGGTTACAATAAGAACTACATTTATGAGAATCCTTCTTGTTTAAAATGTTCAATCCTTAGTTATAAAAATTGAACGTTTTATAAATGTACAGTTACACGCCATGTGAACTTTTAACTTTTATCGTTGGATAGAACAAATTCAAAAAAATTGGGAGGCAAATTTGGTATTCCTACTTGATTTCAAATTAAAATATTTTCAGTGAAATTCATGTCTCGTTTAAGTATGTAACAGGTGAAATTCTTGGCACTAAACTGTCATATAATATGTCAGTATCGATGGACAGTGTTATAGATGCGCCTTGGGATGGTTTAGTACACACAACACAAGTAAGTACCAGTTTTAAAAATAGGTATTTTGTTTTATCATAAATTTTATATTAATATAATATGAAATCATCATACATCAATAATTCATGAATGTAGATTGTTTTAAAATCACAAATTTAATAATATAATTAAATTATTGTATTTAAACATAACAGCTGTAAACTATAGTCTATAGTTTATGATTTACAAATTGTATGTTAATTTATTGACTTAGCATAAAAAAAATAATAAGCTATATAAATCTAGAGTATAAACTAGCAGTTCCCAAACTTTTATGACCACGGCACCCTTTGGAACCTTAAGGTTCCACCCCTTAGGTTCCGCGGAACACGCTTTGGGAATCGCTGGTAAAGACTACCTACACTACATGGTATACTGCAGATCTATGATGTAAACGGTTCTAACAACAAAACACTATTTGTACGTTCTAACAATGTAAATTATGTGTTCGTAATTTAAATTATACAACCATTTATTCTATGATGAAGTTTTTTAAAATGAGAGTTGTGAACTACATCGTACGCATAGATAGGTACTAGCTTTCACGGAAAAAAAAAATACTATAATATCATAGTTGATCAAACTATAGTAGATATAACTATTGAATAGATTAAATAACTTATACGATTTACTCATTATGACTATGTAAATATAGTTATTTTTATGATAATTTTTTCTATATTTTATAGTTAACACAGTTTTTTATGTTTAAATTAATTAAAAAATATAGATAAAATAGCATATTTCAGTTCGAATAACTATAATAACTTGACTATGTCACTATGATATTTTAGTAAATATGACTAACCTTATAGCTATTCCTATAGAAATTATAATGTACAGTCAATCTTACTATTTTTGTTTTCTCCGTGCGTGTCCAGAGATAAGAATGTACGTGTTTACGTCTCGTATTGTTGCTAAAATAGCTATCTATTTCGTCATGTTTTCATACACATTTATACGTCGTAGTTAACTACAAGTATTTGTAAATTCTACTTAAAGTTTTATAAATTTGTCAGTATTCTGTAAGCGGTATCACGGTTATGTCCCGTTTTTGAACTTTTTTTAACGTCGTTCTTCGTGCCCCGTCTTACGTTTTTCACGTATTACTGTCGCTTTAGTCGTTACTGCTTTGGTGTCAAATCTAAAACGTTTTCACGGTCACACGCCGATTGCCAGTAATATTTGTATAATATTGAACATCATTTTTTCACGAGAGTTGTTAATTCGTATAGTCAACGCGGGCGTTTCATAGTTCTATCGTTAATTATTGATAAATGTTTTGAGCGACCATTTGGAGTTATCGTTTCCTGTACTCGTGTAAGCAATTTATTGTACGTTTGGGGGCGGATGGCTACGATGGACAACGCGAGAACTTACCAAGTACCTAGCTTGTTGAAAACCGCGTACTACGCTTGCAACCAGATCGACCGTGACAGGTTCGACTCGCTGGATGTACCGGACGTCGATTTGCGATCGTGTTGCGAGTCGCTGTTCGAAATATTAAAAATCCCAAAATCCCAAAATGAGGACAGCGATAGGCGCACCATGATCTTAAGGTCCCATTTTTCATTCACTGACAAGATATATAAAACATGCGAGGAGGCAGAGTCGCACGGGCACATAAATTGCCTGAAACTCGCTCGCGAAATCGGCCTCCCTTGGGACGAATGGTCCAGAGTTCCCTCCGATAAGCCATGTGACCGGACTGCGAGATTGGGGTATCTGGAGTGTCTAAAGTACGCTAGGGAAAATGGATGTTTTTGGGACGAGGAGACGTGCAGGTACGCTGCGGAAAACGGCCACATGGACTGCCTAGTTTACGCCCGGGAAAACGGATGCCCTTGGGACGAGAAGACGTGCAGCAGCGCCGCTGAGAACGGTCACATGGACTGCCTAGTTTACGCCCGGGAAAACGGATGCCCTTGGGACGAGCGGACTTGCAGCAACGCCGCTGAGAACGGTCACTTGGACTGCCTAGTTTATGCCCGGAAAAACGGATGCCCTTGGGACGAGCAGACGTGCAGCAGCGCCGCGGAGAACGGTCACATGGACTGCTTAGTTTACGCCCGGGAAAATGGATGTCCCTGGGACGAGTTGACATGTTACAAAGCCGCGTCAGGTGGACATTTCGACTGTTCGCAGGCTAATTGGCGTAAGCACCATTCACCAAATTGTTCAGGAGCGCCCAAAAACCATTTAAGGGAGATTGCGTTGTTCTACATTTATGAACAATCATTTTTTTGTTGTAACTATACCAAAAATTTATTCTTGTATAATAACAATACTTAAAATAATTTTATTTTAAATTTTAACTTAAGTTTAAAAAAAAAAAAAAAAAAATGCGCTTACGCCAAATAATTGAATTTCAATTTTTTTTTAATTAATAGTTCATAACAAAATTATTACGTCATGTAACAATATTTTCGAGTAATACTAAACAAATAATTGTTGTATCAAGATAATAATTAATTCAAAAAGTAGAAATACCTTTTCTTAATAAAAATAAAAACTGTAACATTACTTTTATTACATGAAAACATAATTATTTGGTCCTGCATAGTTAGTTTTTATTTCAGTGTACTTGATTATTTAGTAAATTATTATAAAATTATCTTTTAAATAAAAAAATATAACATAGTCTTTAATTAAAATGTGGAAACATCCCTGCATTAATAATAAAATAAAATAAAATCACCTGTAAATAAGAACTTAATAATAATATTTCAATATTGCATAATAATATTATGAAGTTCATATTCAGTTTTCTTGACTAGTTAATAAGTAAAAATAGCAATATTATATCAATAACAATTATAACATAATAGTCTTTAGTTATAAAGTGGAAACTCTTCTGTTTATAATGAAATAAAATAAATCAACTGTAAGTATAATATTAATATCCTCGGGGTGCCGCCACTGGGTGACTTCCCCCTCCTGTTTACCAAAAATCATCACATTTACTTATTGTATCACTTGTAAATACAGATTGTAAATATATTATGTTTGTTCAATAAAAAAAAAAAAATATTAATATAAAAACTTAATAACAATAATATTTTAATGTTGCATAATAATAAAGTCTTCTTGACTAGTTAATAAGTAAAAAAATAGCAACATTGTATTAATAACAATATTATAACAATATAAAAGTCTTTAGGTAAAAAGTAGAAACACCTCTGCGTTTATAATAAAATAATTTTCATTATTGCATTGCTTGAAAGCAGCGGCGATTAATTTATTTGCTCGACTTCTGGAAGTCATGATTTGATTAAAATAACACACGCAACATGGAAATATTCAAACAAGTAAATACAGTAGTTATTAAAACATTAAAAACAGTAAAAAGAATAATTAATATTACTATTAAGAAATCAGATTTCCCAACTCCGTTTAGTCGTCATCACCAATAACGTTATCAGATAAACGCGCTGGAAAACGTATAAAACGTGGTAAGCAGCAATAACGTCGCATACGATATTTTACATTTTTTCGAAATCATTTAGTGGTGCTTAGGACCAAGGTTTTTATAACCATATACAATTTTTGTCGCTTACAAAAAACACTTAAACATCGATCAAATTAATTAATTGTACCTATTCGATAATATATCGATACCAGAGTCAGCGCTATCTATGTCCCTTACGCCAAGATGACAAAAAGTGAATTTCGAAAAATTTTTTTAAAAAAGATTTTAACAAAATTAGTCAGCACTCAACACCGCGAACATTTGCAAATCTTTTTTGGGTTAAAAATTTATAAAATGTTAAATTTTTATAGCTAATGATTGGAAATTTAAAACGAGATTTTTCATGAGTGAGTAGTGAGTAATACTGTTACCAAAAAATCTAAAAAATATATATGCACAGTTTTTTTTACAGGAATTTTAAGTTGAAACTTGGACGAAATTAGATGTTTAAACGAAGATTAACGATATTCATTATTTCGTTTTAATTCAAAAACATTATTCGTGGTGACTTATACCTTTTACTTATATTATTATATTTTAAACATACAATGAAGTTTTATAATGCAATGTTTTAAGTAAAATTTAATTCAACACATTGTTTTACTATTAGTAAAATAAATTACTTAAATAGCTGCAATATAAATATAACTGTATGTATAATATCATCTAGATCACCTATATTATTCTATTATATATTTATATGTATAGGAAGATATGAGTATCACTGGAAAATGATATTGGCATTGAAACTAAAGCAATTATTAATATTTTTACTTAATATAAGTATACTATTGTACAGTATACTAAAAAAAATGTAATAGTTCTAATTATTACTGAATGATATTATGATGTAGGTACCTACCTAGCTAAAAGCTTAAATAACTAAATCAGTAACTGTGAATATCATTTTTAGATGATAAAACTTGGTTTTCATTTTGAGGAGGCTTTTTTCTGGAGATGATCCTTACTGTAATATGTTAAAATATTAAATAATGCTAAAATGTTAACATAATGAGGTAAATATTATAACTTATGAAAATATTTTTAGATTAAAAATTGGTGGGGTTGGGGTTGCCCCCACGACTTAGTTCTAATATCCAATATCCAATGTCGGTAGGTGGATAAAGGTAATTGTTCATTTCCACACCTAAAAAAAATTAGTTCGGCGCCACTTGGTATTGGTACAATTAATATTTTACAACACTAGTTACTTACAAAATTTAGGTACATAGGTAGATATTTAAATATTTTACATTTAATTGTGTGTATTATAATAAACAAAGTTCAGAAAAATGAGATATGAGGTGTTGCATCTTAAGTGACGATTTATTATTTATTTAGACAAAGGTTTATATTAAGATAATTATGTAATCATATAATAGGTAACTACTAAATACAAAACAGATAAAACAAAAATAATAGCTAATAATTATAAAATTATAAAAAAAATAAATATCTCATTCGACATTAGTCAATAATATTATTAAAATATTATACATTTCTATATCGCTAACAATAAGTTAGATGACTTGTCAGGAACATTTGAACAGAATAGGAAAAAAAAATATTACATAATTTTAAAAATCCTAGTTGTATAAATTGTTATCGCTGTAACTTATAAAAATTATTTTAAAGTTCTATGAACTTTTTTCCCCCGAGACTATTTTTCCTTGAGACTTTTTTCCGGATACTTTTTTTCCGGGACTTTGTATCAGGGACTTTTTTCCGTTCCCTAACAGATTGATACGGCGTGTAGCACGTTGCAGCACTGCTTTACGGTAAAATGATTTCATCTGTCATTCTATCTATAATCTAAAACTATAACCGTTGCTAGTTTTCTACAGAAATTTTGGTTATAACCAAGAAAATATTCTTTTATTATCCACAACCAATTTCAAATTTTTTTTGAACATAATCTTGTTATTTAAATTCGATAATTTGTATTGATAATCAAATAACATTATAATTGATAGAATATCAAAAAAAAAAAAATACCTTTTTTGTATCATTTATTAAGTTTGAAGTTATAGTTATAACTTATTAATTTCATAGTCATTATATCATACGGCGCTGTAATTCAAGTAAAAAAAAAATCCCTAGGGGGGGGGGGTAATCGCAATGTCACCCCCCTCAAATCCACCACTGCAATATTATTAGATTCTGAGCGGAGCGACGAAGGCAATGATTTTACAATATTGTGTTTTACAAATAGGTTTTTTATGTGTAAGAAAAATGTCCACTATAAAACTGGGGGGAGAGAATAAAAAAAAGGTATACCCAGGGCAGCAAAATCCTAAATACACCACTGCCACAGATATATATAGTAATATTACTTTATATATCTGTGACCACTGCTTATAGCTATAATATCTCTAGACCAATGGACTATGGTATATCTTGGGCGGAAGATAAAATTTCATGAATACACCTGTATCCTAAAACGTAAATTATACATCAAACAATAATTTGAGCTTTTATTATATTGCATTTATAACTTTAAAATGTATACATCAAAATTTAACTCAAAAACATGCTGATGATACCATCAACTGAATCACCACAAGGCACAAACGTCACACGTTTCTGGTTGAGGTTCAATACAATTTGAACAACACCAAAAATGGCCACAATTGAGCAGGATGTATTGTACCATATCGGATATCCGGTACACACTGAGGAACACGCATACATCCCAGATACTGTGGGGTCCAACAGTAATGTACTTTTCATCCAATTACCTAAAGTAAAAAATGTATAGGTATTAGGTACATATATTAAATATACAAATTATTAAACTTCCTAACTCCTAATTATATTCACCTTCTCCTATTCTAGGAGTATTATCTAGACACGCGGTAGCGTGTCAACCCAAGTTCTATCTAACAGAACATGCACCGTGTGTAAAATATAGTGCTTCGGCAATAGTCATCGCAGTCTTGCACTGACTTGTGGATGTGCGTACATATATTTATCAGCGAATGTAATTATAGCTCACTCACACTTATATCGATTTACATTCTCACACACATGCACGTTCCGCGCAAGGTCGAAACAACATGTCAATTAATTGCCTAAATTTTACTCCTTAATAAGTGACCGGCACCGACACCTTTAAATTTAATGCTAGGTATAAGACAGTAAATAGACACCGAACTGTAGTCGTGTTCCGCTGAATCCAATCATCGATAATTGCCTTCCATCTGATGATGGTTCTTAATTTCAGCAGTACCAATATCATTAGAACTCTAACCACGATACCGAAGAGCGTTAGAGACATTTGATTTGACGATTGTATATTATATTACACGATTGATATAAACGTATCAACAATTCAAGCGAGCGTATGACTAAGTAAGTTTGTTGTGAAGTGAACAGATTTTATAAAAAAATATACGTCGTCAAGTATATGGAAGTACCTTAGTGATTCTATACAGTCAGATAGGTGCCTATATTTATTCGAATAATAATTTATTTTCAAACAAATAATTGAAATAAATAATATTAGGTACAATTTTGTTAACCATAATTACTATTATAACATTCACTCGCGTGTGCCCAAATGATAAGTATACTTGAAATTATCAAATGAAAATGTCTAGCACTCAGTTGATCAACTGTTCCATGGCCACCTCCAAGAATATATATTTGATTTCAGTTAAATTTTAGTCTACTTTCTGAAGACCGGTTATTCCCCGGGGGAAAACTGCAGTCGAGAGTCGACAGGGGCACGAAACCGGGGCGAATATGGTCACCATTTTATACTCATCTACCATACTCTATATACTATATAGATGTTTTTTTTTTAAATTATTTTGATGTAACGAACCCATTTTTATTTTAGATTAGTATTGATTTTACAATGATGTGTGTTTTTTTTTGTGTGTGTCTGTGTATACGATAAGTAGTTTAAAATATAATGGTTCATTTTCCACTTCAGTATCGTGTTTGATGGGAATAAGTGAATGTTTGATGCATTTGGAAGGTCAAAATATTCCCATTAGTGTTCAAAAGCGTCGAGAAATAAAAAAATAATTAAAACCGGGAAATGTTTCGCAAAATCGGTTAAAATCGGTTAACGGAAAATTACTACATCTATTATATCTGATTTATCATTTTTTCGATCACATTGATTGTACCAGTTGCCAAACTAAATTACAAAACTCGAAAAACAAAAATTCTACTTAAATTATCAAATAGATGTAGTTTAAACAGAAAGAAGAGATGGACCCAAGAAAATTGAGAATGAAAAGGGACAGACAATTAATACTCTATGAAAAAGTATAAATCAGTGTTTGATAAAAATCCCTAATACAATATTTTAAAACTATATACAACTTTAATTAAAATCAAGTTTATCCCTGTACGTTTAGCCGTTATCGATAAATCGCGTGGATAATCATTAATCAGACACTGTTATCGAAATTAAATGAAAACCTTTAGAATAAAATAAAATTTGAAGTGCCCATAATGAAAAAATTGTTACATAATTCCTAATAAAAAATTATTTTTGCATAATTTTGCACATTTTAGCATTTTAATTGCACGGTTTTTAGGCGTTAGCTGCACACAAAAATCAGGTCTTTAATTATTTTGTATAATTTTACTGTATAATATATGCACTGAATTATAATATACGAACTGTGAATTGCGGACTAAAAATCGCCGACCCTAGGAAAAATATCATAATAATGTGTAAGGTAATAATAATATAATATGAAAATGGGTGTGGTCAGTTTACTTTCAAAATACAATACGGTACAGTACCTACACTAAGGGCCATGAAGTTGGCCGCACAATGCGTAAATGTTTGCTCCACATTTTATCAAACATTTGTAAGTAATTCGTAGGGTTTTGTAAGCACCAGAGGCTAAAATAAAAATTGTTCGTACCTCATAGTTTATATTGAAATTGGAGTTTGCCCTCACAAAAGTGTATTTAATCCATGAAGTAAATTTCAATTTTTCTTTATCTATAAAGTACAGACTACATCACAGTTTTACAATGACGTTAAGGATAAAGAATAAGAATAGAAAGGCTCCCGACGGTGCCACCTGATAAGTTAATATTATTATACATAATTCCACTGTATAGGTAATAAGTAGGGCTCGGATGTTGTTGCATTTGCAACTTTTTTTCTATTGTTCGGATTCGTTGCTAAGTAGGTTATAAATTTGTTTCAAATTTGTTTCGGGTCTAGGACATTTCGCCGCCACCGTTTCGCCGCCGACCGATTCGCCGCCGGACGTTTCGCCGCCGGACATTTCGCCACCACCGTTTCTTTTAAGAAACAAAAAAATGTGTGGCCAGTTTGAAAAAATTATATAGTTGACAGTCCATTATAGGTTATAACGTGCGTCGTGCATTCATTTTTAAAAAGTGATTTATTTTTTATTTATTAAATATAATATTTTGTTATGTACTAGGTAATGTAATATATATTAATGAATAAGTAAAACTTTGTATTTTTAAAGTAACATTTTAAAAACAGAATAGCCCCCAACGATTCCATTAACTTACTATTTCAACGCATACGCTAAACTGAAATCCACGCTGCGCCACTGGTGAGAACTGAAAACATTTTCCATTATTCATTTTGATGTTGGAAAAATATTTTATTTGATAATTAAAATTTTAAATAAAAAATGCTAATTATATGAAGAACTGTATTGCTAAAGATTCTTTAGTCCTTCTTTTTATATTTTGTTCCTTTACAATATTTTCCTTAGTTATATATTTTGTAGAATATATTATTTTCTGTGCCTGAATCATTATTATATAGCCCTTATGCGAAGTAATTCGCAAGAAGTTGCAGCAGCGTCGTTCATACCAAAAAAAAGGGGATAACACCCCCCAAAAAAAATCATCACTCTACGACTATGAGTCCCTATTCTCTTGATCGATCGACTAGAAGTCGTGTGCGACTAAACTCGATTGATTATGTAGAAAGTTGACTGAAAAACGCTATTTCCAAAAGCATTCGACTAAAATTAGTCGCACTCGAGATTATGTTGACTAGTAATAATAGCTTGTCGAATGAACCACAATGGTATAACTTAAAATTGATATTTTATTATCATTTATTTTCTATTTGTTATCAAAGTGAGCCCCTTTTTAAATTTAACTTAAAAAATTGTTTCCTTATACATTTTTACGACTGTATAAAATTATACAATTACCAACAATAGGTACCAAGTAGGTACTATATTAATATGTTAATCATATAATATAATATAGTGCACCACTGGTTTTAGTAATTAATATTATAATTTATAAAATCAATGGTAGCAGTCAGTATACCTACTAAAAATTAATTGGTACCAGAATTCATTGTTTCAGATTATAATATTATATAACATGATATATACTAACCTAATTACATAAATACATAAATATATATGATTACCTGGGTACCTAAAGAAAATCAATGTTTAGTGTACTTGCCTATTGTTATTATATAATATTAAAATTACCTATACAAAATAAATATAGATTTTTTATGAAAAAAAAATTCTCTGACCACAGATTTAAAGAGGTGGGCGTGGGCAGGTGGACGGTCTGGCTTCCTTTATTACTAAATATATTTTATGATATTATTGTGATTAAAATAGTTTATTTTACTATTATCTATTACTTACAGTAGGTAAAAGTTAAATTCATTTTTATTTTTTTCTGAAACAAAAATGCTTTTGAAAATGTCATTGTTTGTATAAAATATAATTATATACCTGCTTTAAAAGTTTCAAGTACACACAAATAATATTTTTAAACTACAACAAGATAACTAAAATAGTAATGCTTCGTTTAAATATCTAATTTTGACCAAATTTGGAACTATATAATATCTACAAAAAAAAAACTGTGGTTATAAATAAGTTTTTTGGTTACAATATGAACTACATTTATAAGAATCCTTCTTGTTTAAAATGTTCAATCCTTAGCTATAAAAGTTGAACGTTTTATAAATGTACAGTTACACGCCATGTGAACTTTTAACTTCTATCGTTGGATAGAACATATTCAAAAAAAATGGGGGGCAAATTTGGTATTCCTACTCGATTTCAAATTAAAATATTTTCAGGGAAATTCATGTCTCGTTTAAGTATGTAACAGGTGAAATTCTTGACACTAAACTGTCATATAATATGTCAGTATCGATGGGAAGTGTTATAGATGCTCCTTCGGATGGTTTAGTACACACAACACAAGTAAGAACCAGTGTTAAAAATAGGTATTTTGTTTTATTAATAATTTTATATTAATATAATATGAAATCATCATACATCAATAATTCATGAATGTAGATTGTTTTAAAATCACAAATTTAATAATATAATTAAATTATTGTATTTAAACATAACCACTGTAAACTATAGTTTATGGTTTACAAAACGTATGTTACTTTATTGACTTACCGTAAAAAAAATAATAAGCTATATAAATCTAGAGTATAAACTAGCTACTAGCAGTTCCCAAACTTTTATGACCACGGCACCCTTTGAAACCTTAAGGTTCCACCCCTTAGGTTCCGCGGAACACGCTTTGGGAATCACTGGTATAGACTATACCTACACTACATGGTGTACAGATCTATGATGTAAACTGTTCTAACAACAAAACACTATTGTATGTTCTAACAATGTAAATTATGTGTTCGTAATTCAAATAATACAACCATTTATTCTATGATGAAGTTTTTTAAAATGAGAGCATAGATAATAGTTTTCACGGAAAAAAAAATTACTATAATAAAATTGTTGAACAAACTATAGTAGATATAACTATTGAATAGATGAAATAATTTAAACGATTTACTTATTATGACTATGATATTTTAGTAAATATGACCACCCTTATAGTTATTCCTATAGCAATTATAATGTACAGTCAATCTTACTATTTTTGTTTTCTCCGTGCGTGTTCAGAGATAAGAATGTACGTGTTTACGTCTCGTTTTGTTGCTAAAATAGCAAAAATAGCTAAAATAGCTATCGTCATGTTTTCATACACATTTATACGTAGTTAACTACAAGAGTATTTGTAGATTGTACTTAAAGTTTTATACATTTGTCAGTATTCTGTAAGCGGTACCACGGTTATGTCCCGTTTTTTGAACTTTTTTCAACGTCGTTCTTCGTGCCCCGTCTTACGTTTTTCACGTTTTACTGTCGCTTTAGTCGTTACTGCTTTGGTGTCAAATCTAAAACGTGTTCACGATCGCAGGCCGATTGCCAGTAATATTTATATAATATTGAACATAATTTTTTCCCGAGAGTTGTTAATTCGTAAAGTCAACGCGGGCGTTTCATCGTTATATCGTTAATTATTGATAAATGTTTTGAGCAACCATTTGGAGTTATCGTTTCCTGTTCTCGTGTAAGCAATTGATTGTACGTTTGGGGCGGATGGCTACGATGGACAACGCGAGAACTTACCAAGTACCTAGCTTGTTGAAAACTGCGTACTACGCTTGCAACCAGATCGAGCGTGATAGGTACGACTCGCTGGATGTACCGGACGTCGATTTGCGATCGTGTTGCGAGTCGCTGTTCGAAATATTAAAAATCCCAAAATCCCAAAATGAGGACAGCGATAGGCGCACCATGATCATCAGGTCCCATTTTGCATTCACTGACAAGATATTATATAAAACATGCGAGGAGGCAGAGTCGCACGGGCACATAAATTGCCTGAAACTCGCTCGCGAAATCGGCCTCCCTTGGGATGTATGGTCCAGAGTGGCCTTCGATAAGCCATGTGACCGGACTGCGAGATTGGGGTATCTGGAGTGTCTAAAGTACGCTAGGGAAAATGGATGTTTTTGGGACGAGGAGACGTGCAGCAGCGCCGCCGAGAACGGTCACATGGACTGCCTAGTTTACGCCCGGGAAAACGGATGCCCTTGGGACGAGAAGACGTGCAGCAGCGCCGCTGAGAACGGTCACATGGACTGCCTAGTTTACGCCCGGGAAAACGGATGCCCTTGGGACGAGCAGACGTGCAGCAGCGCCGCTGAGAACGGTCACATGGACTGCCTAGTTTACGCCCGGGAAAACGGATGTCCTTGGGACGTGATGACGTGCAGAAACGCCGCTGAGAATGGTCACATGGACTGCCTAGTTTACGCCCGGGAAAATGGATGTCCCTGGGACGAGTCGACATGTTACAACGCCGCATCTGGTGGACATTTGGACTGCCTGGTTTATGCCCGGGAAAACGGATGCCCGTGGGATAAGTGGACGTGCAGCAGCGCCGCGTACGGTGGTCACATGGACTGTCTGATTTACGCAAGGGAAAACGGGTGCCCTTGGGACGTGATGACGTGCAACAACGCCGCGAAGAGGGGTCACAAGGACTGTCTGGTTTACGCGATGGAAAACGGGTGCCAATGGAATGATTTGACGTGCAAGTACGCTGCGTGGAATGATCACAAGGACTGCTTAGATTACATACGGGAAAACAGTCATAAGATTCGTACCCCCCTATAGGGAGAAATATATTCGGCCTATTATCTTGATCGATCGACTAGAAGTCGTGTGAGACTTAACTCGATTGATTATGTCGTACTCGACTGCAAAACGCTATTCTCCAAAAGCAATTGACTAAAATTAGAAGCATTCGAGATTATGTCGATTAGTAATAAGCTTGTCAATTGAGCCACAATAATGGTATAACCTAAAATGTATTTATTATTTATTACCTTAGTTGGCTTCTTACATTTTTACGACTGTATAAAACAGTATAATTTTGTTCTATGTTACCACGTACTATATTAACACGTCAATCATATATAATATTTAAGACTATCGTCTATAGGAGTACGATGTATAAGTCACAACTCTCATTTTATAAACTTCATCATAGAATAAATGGATTGTATAATTTAAATTTTAAATTATGTATTTATACATATATCTTATTGATAAGAGTCCCATGCATTTCTTTTTTTTGTAATTCAGAATTTTTAAAAATTATTATGTTTAAAATGTATACGAGCATAAGCGGAAATGAAGGGGGCTTGGGGGGACTTTTAGTTATTAGCTATAAAAATTGAACATTATATACATTTTTAAATAGAAAATAATTTGATAATGTTCGCGATTATGATGGATTATGTCAAAATTTGAGTTTAAAATGCTTATAAAAAAATTTGTGCCTTTCATTTTTATGTGTTCATTACTTTTGAACTTCTAATATCAAATGACTTATGGTCTATGGGTAAAATTTCAAGTTTTTTGATTCAGCTATCCTTACATTTAACCTTTTTTGATACATTTTATATTTTTAATTATTATAATACATACTATTTGTATCTATACCTATATCAAATTTTTAGTTGATCTATATAATTTGGGTTTTTTTTAAATGTTGAGCAATGAAAAAATACCTAATAACCTGCACACATTTGATCCCTAACGATTATTAGGTAATAATGTACATAAATGGACATATTTAATTTTCTTTTTTTTTCATATATACCGTCACAGTGTCACACGTAGATACGTTTTAATAATAAACATAATTATTAATTTGAATGTTTACATGGTTTTCTAAACAATAAAATTGTATTTGACTATGATCCATTGGTATTATACCTAGTTTATTATAATTTCTATGATTAATTAATAGTTAGGTTAACTGTTTAAGTCTTGCTAATACCAAATAACATAACGTACCTAGTTCAATATATTTTTACTATATTTCCGAAACCTTAATTTTCTAAAATATACAAGTATCTATATTAAATCCTTTCAAAATCAACTTTTAAATATGACGATCAAGTCACTTCAATAATTGATTTTATCGCTGTGGCAACGACCAACAAATGATTCAATTTACACTAATCTGTATATAGTATATACCAGGGGTGGCCAGCGAGAAATGACTTGCGAGCCACCAAATATATTAATAAATATGGAAGAGCCAAAATGTAAAAAAAAGGTCATATTATTATATAATTTATATATATATATATATCAGATATTGTATTATTGTAAATAAGATAAGTTAAGGTATGGTATTTAATAAAATGTGAAGAATAAGATAACAATACTTTAGAATACTTTATTTTTACAAATTTTTTTCTATACACTGGAATTTAATAATTTAATTTAATTTAATAAAATATTATACTTTTTCAAATACTGTTGCCGCCGCAACATAAAAGCATTACGCAACATAGTACCTACCCAATTAAAGAAAAATAAGAATATAGGACATCGGTCACCGGGGAACAGCTGGACACACACACACTCACATATCACTATTTGTATTGTTTTATTATTATTATCGTTGAATGTGTCTTGTGAATTATATAATATGTAGATTAAACGTTATCGCACGCCGCCGCGCCGTCTATGCGAATATTTATTTAGCACGGCGGGCGTGAATCTTCCTGTTTCGTTCGTCGTTCCACAAACACCGAAGTGTAAAATAATATTATAGTTGTTGTCTTTTTTGTTCTAATATCGAGTCATAAGCGCAATTCGCCACCCTTTTATATTTAATAAATTATACCGTGTTATTATTGTGAATTTGTGAGCCATAAGGGCATTATCATTATTATATTGGTCCATTTCTCAATATTCATTGTATTTTTACGTGTGTGAATCGTCACTTATTATTATTATATTTGTTTTACGCCGAGTACCACGGCATATTGTATTTTTATTTAGCACGGGACCAGCTAGCTAGACTGCGCTCCACAAACTGTGAGTTTTTATTATTATATTATTATTTTACAATATTACCATTTAGTTGTTATGCCAAAAGGGCCTTAGATATTTTATAATTATAATACTACCGTGCCAGAAGGGCCACATATCATTTTTATATTATATACCTGCATACAAGCTAACAGTTTAAATAGCTGGTCAATTTATATTTATTCTGTTTGGCCATAAGGGCCACATCTTAATTTAATATATTTTAACTATTATTCACCTTATATATTTGTTGGACCATAAGGGCCACATCATTTATTATCAATAGCAGCTCATAAAGTTTGCCGTATTATTTTATTATATTGTTTCGATAGGGCCAGAAGGGCTGTTTAATATTATTGTAATTTATTCTGTTCGGCCATAAGGGTCGTGCATTATTATTTATTATTTATTATATTTTATGCCGCTTGGCTAAGAGCGTGTATTACCTAATATATTATTATATTGTTTATGCTGCTGGCTATAATAGCCGTGCACTAATTATTATATATTTATTTACTATCATATTTTTTATACCTACTGTGTTGCTGTGATTTTTATATATTTGTATTATTATTATTATTATTGTGTATTATACAGCAACTCAGCTATCAGAAACCGTGTTACCATTTTTTATTACCTATTTGTTTAATTGTATACACACCTACACACATACACATATTTATACACAATTACACATAATTACACAACACGCACTACATAGCCGACAGTAATTGCTAGGCGATCCCGACCACTACTGTTCGAGCTATTACACCATTACACATCCAGCTTGTTCTCCATAATTCCAGGAATTAGGTGTTAGTGGTGTAAGGTGAGTTATTGGTGTCCGGGCGCGCGTATTAATATTTTATGCTCCCGGCCCGCACATTTTGGTGACCTCGACGTGATTTTTTCTATTTATATTGTTGTGTTTTATTATTTCTGAATTTGACAGCTGAGATAGGTTTTGTTTGTAATTAATTTGTCTATTAGTCAGATTGAAATCACATTAGTCTCAATTATTAAATATAAACATCGTTGAAGTTAATTATTTATCGCAATCATGGGGTTAGATGATGTTATGTTAGGCCAGGTGAAGGACCTCAAAAAAAAACGTGGTATCATTAAAGCGGCTCTAACACGAATGAAAAACTTTGTTGAGAGATTCGACCCATCAATTGATGCGATATCACTGTTAGAATTCCGCCAAGAAGAGCTGCCGCGTCTAAACCAAAAATTTGACGACATACAAACTCAACTTGAATTAATTGTTGTCGATGATTTGGACAAGGAAGAAGAAGAACGCGATAAGTTTGAATCTGACTATTTCAATGTTCGTTCGAATATTCAAGAAATAGTTAATGCTAAGAAGAGTGTCAACAGCAGTTGCCACAACTCAACCTTTAATATGTCAGCAGGTCACAGCCGTGCTCAATTACCCACCATTACGTTACCAACATTTGACGGCGATATCCAGGATTGGGAGTCCTTTTTCGATTGTTTCCGTGCTATGATACACGACGATGGTGGATTTTCGCCAGCCCAAAAATTCTACTATCTCCGGTCAAGCATCAGTGGCCCTGCGTTAGACCTCATCAAGTCAATTCCAATGACAGATGCGAACTATGAAGTTGCAATTGAACGTCTGAAACAACGGTATGACAATCGCAGTCTTGTCATTCAATCACACATTCGCTCCCTTCTGGAATCACCATATGTAGAACAGCCGACAGCTAAAGATCTGCAAGCATTACATGCTCATGTTAGTGCCCATGTTGCAGCACTGAGAGTGCTAAATCAGCCAACGGAGCATTGGGATGCGTGGCTAGTGACTATAATCGTCAGCCGCTTGGATGCTGCCACTAGTCATGGCTGGCAACTGAGGCAGCAAAACACTCAACTTCCCAAGTACTGTGATCTGGAGAATTTCTTATCTAGTCGGTGTGTAGCCTTTGAGTCTTCACAAGCAGCTTCTGGACTAAAAAGAGATATAAAAACTAATGTGGGAGGGGAACCAGCAAAGAGAACCAGTGTCAAACACTCCTCAACCGAAGCGAAGCGAGCTTTAGTAGCATCTGCTGATACAGCCTCCTGTCAATACTGTACTAACCCGCATAAACTATATAGCTGTGAGGAGTTCAAGGCAGTCCCGCTAAATGCACGCCTAGCATTTGTACAGGGAAAGGGAATATGTTTCAATTGTTTGTCTCCGGGGCATATGGCAAATACCTGTAGATCCACTTACAGGTGTCGAACGTGTAACCGCAACCATCATTCATTATTGCACTTTGAAAGGAAGGAAAAAACAGAAGAGAAAGAGCTGCAACAAGGGGGACAACCGGATAAGGGTCAAACACCGGCTATTTCCGGAATCCTAGTATCAGCGCCAGTACCAGCAGAAATTACCATGGGAAATGCACATGTGTTTCTCGCAACAGCTTTAGTCACGGTGCAAGATAAATATGGTGGACATCGCCAGTGCAGGGCCATTTTGGATAGCGGCTCCCAGGTCAACTTTGTTTCAAAAAGATGCGCAAACCTACTACAGCTATCATGCAAAAGGTCTTCATTGCCAATAAGTGGTATTGGAGATAATCGCTTAAGAGCAAGGTCGTGTAGTGAATTGAAAATTGAATCAAGAACGAGTGAATTCAGTATTACGATTTCTTGCTATGTACTGCCTAATATCGTAGGGGAGTTAGCGTCTTGCCCAGAGCCGGCAGATGGATGGGGTATACCAGAGTTTGTGTCTACATATCTAGCTGACCCGGACTTCCACCACCCTC